CGCTGAAAATCGGTACTTTGAGTTCTTATTGGGTAGCAAATCTCTATACTAAAAATTATAAATAAAGGTCAATTTTTTCGGGTAGCCCCCATATAAGGGTACCCCCCAATGTTCGGTATTTTAGGGGTCTTGAGAACGGTTTTCAACTGAATTCGCTGAAATTTGGTATATTGGGCTCTTATTGGGTACCAAATTTCCCCACTATAAATTATAAATATTGACCGAATTGGCTGTAATTAAGTAATTTTAGTTCTTGTTGGTCTTATTGGGTAGCCCCCATATAAGGGTACCCCCATATAAGGGTACCCCCAATTTTCAATATTTTGAGGTTCCTGAGCGCGTTTTTCAACCGAATTCGCTTCAATTTGGTATTTTGTAGTCGTATATGGTTACAAATCTCCCCACCAAAAATTATTAATATTCACTCCTTTTTAGGGGTAGTCCCCATATAACCCCCTTTTTATACCCTTCACCACTCTGTGGTACAGGGTATTATGTCTTTGTGCATATGTTTGTAACAGGCAAAAATAATCGAGATAGACACATGGTTCCTTTTGAGAATATGCATAGAATCACTTTCTGAATCGTTTTATGAATCCGTCCGTCCGTCTGTCTGTCGATGTAAAATTGTAAACAAAGTACAAGTAGCATTTATAATCCGAATTGGATAAAATTTGGCACAGGTCACTTTTTTGGCCCAAGGACGAACCCTATTGAAATTGGAAAAAATCGGTTCAGATTTAGATATAGCTCCCATATATATTTTCGTCCGATTTAATGTAAACGGTCCCTATATATCTTTCGTTTTGCACGAAATTTGGTACAGCGTAATGAATTAGGTCTAGAATGATGTGTGTGAAGTTTCGTGAAAATCGGCTCAGATTTGGATATAGCTCCCATATATATTTTTTCGTCCGAATTTAGGTAAACGGTGTACCAAAGTCCCTATATATCTTTTGATTTGCACGAAATTTGGCACAGCGTAATGAATTAGGTCTAGAATGATGTGTGTGAAGTTTCGTGAAAATCGGTTCAGATTTGGATATAGCTCCCATAAAATTTCGTTAAATTTCGTTGAAATCGGTTCAGATTTAGATTTAGCTCCCATATATATTTTCGCCCGATTTTCGGTAAATAGTGCACCAAAGTCCCTTTGTATCCTTCGATTTGCACGAAATTTCGCATAGGGTGCTGAATTAAGTCTAGAACGAAGTTTGTTAAATTTTGTGAATATCGGTTCAGATTTAGATATAGCTCCCATATATATTTTCGTCCGATTTTAGGTAAATAGTGCACCACAGTCCCTTTATATCCTTCGATTTGCACGAAATTTGGTATAGCGTACTGAATAAGGACGATAACGATGTTTGTTAAATTTTGTGAATATCGGTTCAGATTTAGATATAGCTCCCATATATATGTTCGTCCGATTTTAGGTAAATAGTGCACCACCTACACTATGTAATCAATATTGGTTCCCCTTTAGGTATAGTTTCATATAACATTGTAATCTATGTTACAGTAGTTTGAGGATTTTATACTCTACCATGCGTTATCAGTATCAGTCCACTTTTTGGATCTTACAGAATTTAAAAAATATCTCCATTAAAAATTGCTGACGTTTGTATTTGGTGTACATAATGGTTTACATAAATCGGTTTGTAGAATTATTGGTATATGTCCACTTTTTTGTATGTTCCCTATATTTTCATTGCATTTATCTGTCAGTATAACTATGGTGGAGGGTATCCAAAGTTCTTTATATTTTCATAATATTTATTATTAAAATTAAATATATTGTATATTTTTTATTTCCAAACCATTGTTCATTAGTAAAAAAGTTAAAGCACAAGAGCAACTACAACTAAAGCAGGACTAACAGAACTACTGATGATTACGATGATTGCTAATGAGTTTTGCAACCAAATGGAAAAAAATACAACAAAAAACTGAAATAATTATGTAATTAATTACCGCAAGAAATATAAGTGAAGAAGAAAAAAGAAACAATTACAATTTTGTGTAACATTTGTTAATGAAAAATATCCAAACGAACAAAAAAGAGATAGTGAAGAACTGAGGATAAAAACCAAAGTAAAAGAGAACAAAAGATATTATCAAAATGTGTTGCCTTTTTGTTATATAATTAGTTTTATTCCATTGTTTTTGATTATTAATTTATTTTAATAAATATATATGTATTTTATTTAGTTATTTGCCATTTGTTTGCGTGAGTGTGGATGTGTGTATCCGTTAATAATTATTAAAGCCATTTGATGTTAATTTAGTCTTGTTGTTGATGTTTTAAAACTTTTGTGAGGTTGTTTTATGTTTTGTGATAGTTGAGCAAGATATAAAAGAGTAGTGAGAGAGAGCGATAGATTTTGTTTGTATATAAATCGAAAAAAGTTGAAAAATGAACGATTCCAAATATCCATTAGTAATCGCAATCGATGTGTGTGTATGTTTGTTTATGTGTGATAAGTTTGCTGATTCCTCGCAGGTGTTTGCGTTTGTTTTGTTTAATTGATGTGTGATAATGATTTGCGTTTTAGTTTCCAATAACCTTTCTTGTCATTACCAGCTAAATTATATACTGCAAAGTTTGGTTTATCTTTAAAATTAATGAAATCGTAAAAAATTAAAGTTGTCAAAGAAATAAGCATTTTTTTAGAGTATTACACAAAACACAAAATGTTTTCGATAAATAAAATTACTCGACTGCCGTTACAAATAATATGTTGATGTATGTGTGTATGTGTTTTGTATGTTTTAAGCTCGATCTATTTGAGTATATATTTTAGATATTATTATATAGAAATAGTTTTTGTTTAAATACCTTGAATTTGTTATTTTAATAAAAATATTATATAATTTTAAAATAAATACCAACAAAATAATAAAAATAAATTAAATAAAAACTTAGTTTTGGCTGAGAATAGAAAAGTAGAGAAAATTTGTTTTGGCGTCCCAATTTTTATTTCAGAGTCATAGACCCCCCAAAGTAGGTCCTAAAATTCCAGATTTCATATAAAATCAAGAAATCTTAAAACACATACGAAATTCTGGCTAAATTGTTGGTGAATTTTTACATAAATTTGTAATGTGAAGACATCGATGTTGTGACCAAAAATGAACTATAACTCAAAACCTATGTTTACAATAATTATAAAGGTGTTAAGACTAACTCGGATTCTCCATTCGCATTATATGAGATATATGTTTTTGATTGGAATGTTGACATTTTGAGGTTGTGGTACCTAAAGGAATTGATTGAGGAATTTTTCAAAATTGTGACACATTGTGAGGAAGTTTCCAAAGTGTATGGAGCATTATACTCCCTGTTCAAACTTGATTTATGTTATAACGATGGCTTCGTAATTTACAAGTTTTCGAAATTTTGACAGTTTGTAAGCGAAGAGAGTTGCGACAGAACCTATAATCCGATCCTCCCAAAGCTTTGTACACATTTTGAACAAACACCGGACGCTTCATGCGGTTCATGTGACGTTTCAGTAGTTTTTAAAATACTGACCCTTTTGGGGGGAAGACCAATATGTGCGGATAATTTTTTTTTTTTAAATTACAGCTAAAATCACTAGTTTCAGTTATTGGCTGTTTGTAGGAGAGGCATTAATAGGATATTGATCCTTTTTGTGGAAGTACCAATAAGCTCGGCCAAAATCAGAGGTTTTAGATGTTTTCAAAATACTGACACTTTTTGAAGGAGAACCAATCGGAGTGGACCGATATAGGTGAGACTTAAACAATGTCAAATGATGGCTCTTTATAAGGAGGCTGATCCTATTTGTGGAAGTACTGATATGAGGGGGCCGATAAGTTCGACCAACGGACTTCGAATAATGTATTGGCACAAGTGAGCTTTACAAAAATTCAAATATTGTTTTTTTTGTGGGCAAGTACATGTTGGAGTCCCGCCATCGGACCATTGACTTTGTGAGATATGTGCATACCATTTTGCCAGATAGAGGATCTGACATTCTGAATTGTCGGAAACGAACGAAATAGTAGGTTGGAGAAAATGAATCCATTATTTTTTATGAAATGTAGGACTTTATTTAACATGCTTCGGAATGTCAAAATTTTCACAATTTTGTTGTATGATTTGTTACCATTTTAAAGGTAACTAAATAATGCCTTTCTCATAGAAGTCCTGCTCTGCAAGAAACTCCAATAGTCGATTTTCACAATCTTCCCTAGGTACCAGTTTTTTATCATTAAAAAAAATTTGCAGTTCAAGAACAAGTATATAATTGATTGGTGCCAAGTACGGACTGTATGGGGGATGGATTAAAACTGTGACCTATATCGTGTTTACAAATTATAATGGACAGACGGACGGATGGACACACATGTCAGGTAGTCGATATATAAAGCGATCGATATACTAAAAGGTCGGTATAGGACTAACGTTCGCTATAAACTCTTGGGGACACACAAAGCAAAAATAACCTTACAACATAGGGTGTAAAAATCACCAACAATTAGATTAAGTTTTGAAATTCTCAGTAATCGGTGAGTTGAAAAAATATGTGCTCCTCTGTCATTTTCTTAATTAAAAAAAATAACTTAAATTTAACTTAAAACTTTCATAAATAATAAAAAATCCCTTCATACTAAAAATAAACTATAACAATACACATAACTGAATACTTAACTAAATAAAGGAAACAAATAATAGAAACAGAAAAACTAAATAATAATAATCACCTGAAGGATAAACCGATGACGAAGAGGAAGAGGTGCTGACGCCACCACTTGTCTTCTTCCTGCAAGTTGGATATTGGCCGCAGTCCTTGCCATCGCGTTGATTATAACTACAAGAATCCGATGTAATTACACACTCCTCGTTGGGCAAACAACCGATGTCAGCACAACCGCGTCCATATTCTATTGTCATTTGGAATCCAGAATGGAGACAGTAGCGAGGTAATAGTAATAGTTGTAGCAGTAGTAGTAGTAGAGAAAAGTTTTTTTGTTTATGTGTTGGTGGTCGTGGATGATGAGGTATATAGTTCGTTCGTTTTTGTTGTTGTTTTTTTTTGTGACACAACAATAAAGTTTTCATTAAAAGGATTTGTAGAGGAGATGAATGTGAATGAGTAGTCATTTTTCATCATAAAAATGTGGGTTTTGTTGTTGTTGTTTTTAAATATTATTAATGGCAACACAATTAGTTGGATTTTTTGTTGTTGTCGTATTTGTGTGTGTGTGTTTGGGATTGCAAATTGTGGTTAAATTAAACATAGAAAAGATACAGGTCCGCGCAGAGAGGATGAAAAGAAAAATAAACAAAAAATAGGAATTTAAATAAAAATATTTAAAAAATTACATAAAATAAGATGTTCATAATAATGATCTGATAGTTGATGATGATTTGTTTTTTGTTGATATAAAACAACATTTAGGATTAGTTTTTTTTTAATTTATTCTTAAAATGGGAATAATTTGTTGGTTAGTGCTTTTTATATTGGGATAGTTTAAAGGATTTGTGTTTTAGGGATTTTATAAAATTATAAATTGTTTCATAATATCAAAGTACTTTTATATTATACGCCACCAATACCTATTTCCAGATTCTAAATATTACTTTAAGTAAATTTAACGGTGAAAATTATTTACTCAGTTTTACGATCTCAATAATCCGTATAAAAGCGATAATCTTCTACATCAGTCTTATTTATTATCTCTGACGGAAGACAAAAAGAAGAAACATCAGACATCGACATGAGGTTGATTGACTTCGCGGCAGCCGAAACATGGTAGTTAGCAGCACCATATTCAAGCATCTCGATATGCATAAGGCCAATTGGATTTCTCCTGATCGAACAATGAGAAATCAAATCGATCATGCTGTGATAGACAGAAGGAATTCATGCAGTGTTTTAGACGTTCGATCGATCCGAGTATTCGGAACACTACCTTGTAACAGTCAAGGTTCAAACTCGTCTTAATGTAGCAGCAAAGGTGCGATTTAACACAACACGGAAACTAGACGTCGCTGCAATCACAACAGTTAGCAGAAGCCTACTCCGCTCAACTAACCCACCTGCTTGACGAAAGTATTCCTTGTTCCGATAATAATATAGAAGCACAATGGCAAAGAATTGTCCACTCCCTACAAACTGCAGCAAAAGCAACACTTGGGTACCAAGACCACCATCAAGAAATCCGTGATACGATCAGGAGTGTCGTAATGTTACTCAAATAGCTGCGGTGAAGAAAATACCCTAGGACCAACAGGAAATGGCGGTATAGAGTGTATATGTAGTATGTCTCGTACACAAAAAAGATACAAGACGATATGTACCAACTATATCGTACCCATCGCATATAATATGCTATCCAGCGTGCTGTATGAACGACTGAAGTCAATGGTCAATGACATTATTGAACCACACCAATGCGGCTTCAGACCTGCAAATATACCATTGACCAGATTTTCACTCTGCGCCAAATCCTGGAAAAGACCTACGAATAACACATTCCACCTATTCGTCAACTATGAAGCCGCATTCGACAGCCCTATCCTTTCAGAGGTGCCGTGTCTGCGTTTATCATTCCTGCGAAATTAATTAGGATATGCAGGATAACTATTATTACCGAATGAGGATTCAGACAAGGTGACAGTGTGTCGTGTGACCTTTTTAATATCCTGCTGGATGTTGCTGTTATATAGATCTGAAGCATGGATACTTACGCAAGCAGATGAGCAACTCTTGGGGTGTTAGAGAGAAAAATTCTCCGAAAGATCTGTGGGCCGATCTGCGTTGACGGTGAATATCGCCATCGAATAATCCATGAGTTGTACCAGCTTTTCTCCGACATCGACATTTTTAGACGTATCGAGCTGCAGCGACTACGTTGGCTAGGCCATGTTGGGAGAATGGATGAAGATGCGCCATCCCAAAAGGCATATAAAAACGACCAGCTGATGGTTCACGCAGAAGGGAAAGGCCACGAATAAAATGGAAAGATCAAGTGGAAGACAACATGGTATTTCAAATTGGAAAAAAGCTCGGCTTATAGAACGAAAGTTCTGTCACAAGCCAGCTAAGAAATGTAAGTAAGTTTTTGGGCATGAAATCTAAATGAGAACTTTCAAAACGTTTGAATTTATTATTTCATTAAAGTCATTAATGTTACAAAAATGTAAATTTTTGGAATTATTTATTACGATCCAATAGCAATATGGGCCGATTCCGCCACCTGCTTTGTTACTAAGAGTAATTGCCTCTTTTGAGGCTTTTACAAATAGTGGGTAGTGTTCACGACTCAAAGGATACGAACCGACCCCTGCATAACTATCCGCTGGATTTTAACTTCCGGTAGTGTAGTTGATCCTATTTTGAGAAAATTGCCTCACATTTTTTGTTTTCTAGTAAGATACGAAACAATAATACGCCTGTACATATTCACATCCGATCACATACATAAACTTTAGTCATACTGATATAAAATCTCCTTTTTTGTATTATCTTCCCGGATAGAAAAACAATTTATTAAAAATGCTGGCACTAAGTATAAACTGAATATTATGAAAACACTCATGGTGTTCGGTGTTCGCATGTAGTTCGATTATTAGTGCCAGAGCACGGGCATATACAGCTTCATCGATACTAAAAAGACCCATACTTTGAGGGGCCACAAATGCTTGGCCAATATCTAAATATTTTATTGAATACTATTTAACAACTTCGTACATGAATAATGGTGTATAACATTTCTCTAAAAATATTTAATATTATGAAACAATTTAATATTCTTAGTTTAGCATGCCAATAATAAAATATATAACAGTTTCTATGGAACATTTTTTTCTAACAAAAATATGAAGGAATAAAGGATTAGAATTTCTTTTAGAATTGCAGAATAACATCGAAAAACTTTTTTTTTGCTGTGTGTGGAAAGGGAAATAGGTTTGTTAAACAAGAAGAACAGTAACAAATAAATATATGAAAGAAATATTCTGTTTTTTTCTTCGTTCAAATTATGATTTGTGTTTTGTTTAGCGGGCTACTAAAGGATGAAATGTTTAACCCAGCTAAAAAACCGAAAATAAATTATATAAAATTGTCGAGTACATACTTGAATAGGATTCGACATTGCTGACAACACATAACAGCAAAATGCCGCAGGATAAAAATCCTAAACCGCCCATTTTCTTCAACATGTTACTTAAGTTTCCCGTTCGTTTCGGTTCCTTCCGGGATGTTGTTGGGTTTGCTGCTTTTTCTTGTGGTTTCTGATTTCTTTTACTTGGGTGTTATGATATTTTTTGGTGGTTATTCGCCTTCTGGCAAGCAGCTACTTTCTTGAATTATTACTGCGGTTTTCCTCAGCCAAAGTTTGAAAGTTGTTGTTTTTTCGTCTCACACTCTGAAAAGATAGAAAAAAGAAAGAAACAATTTACAAATATTTATTATGAAAAACCAACAAAAAAGTGTTTCTTTAGCATAAGTTTATTTTTGGGTATCCTTAAGTTATGGTGATAGTACAAATAAGAATAACCAGAAATTGTCCATTAGCAGAGTTTGTTGTGCAAGAAAATTGCGAGTCTATTATATATATAAATAAAATGGATAACTACTTTGGTATATTCATAATAGTTAAATAGCAAATAGGATGTTTTTATACAAATTTTAATATATTTTTGTTGTTAGTTTTATGTCATTCTGCCCTTATATAAACATGAAGCCTTTATAAAGGGATTTAAAGGATCTATAGTACAGACCGAAATGATTTCCCAATGATATTTAAAGAAAAATATTCCAAGGTATGGAGGTCGTTATTGTAAAGCCTATGGTCCAGGGCTGCTATAGTCTTTGGAAATTTAAAAAAATCCATGCCTTCTAAAGTCCTTGGAAAGAATATTCTTTAAAACTCCGTACCTTCTAAAGTCCTTGAAATCATTATTCTTTAAAAATCCACGCTTTCTATAGTCCTTGGAAAAATATTCCTTAAAAAATCCACGCGTTCTATAGTCCTCGGAAAAATGTTCTTTAAAAACCCACGTTTTCTATAGTCCTTGAAAAATATTCTTTAAAAATCCACGCTTTCTATAGTCCCTGCAAAAAATATTCTTTACAAAAGCCACCCTTTCTATAATTCATGAAAAAATATTCTTTAAAAAATCCACGCTTTCTATAGTCCTCGAAAAAATATTCTTTAAAAAATCTACGCTTTCTATAGTCCCTGCAGAAAATGTTCTTTAAAAAATTCAAGTTGATTTTAAAAAATCAACGCTTTCTATAGTCATTGTAAAAAATTTTCTTTAAAAAATAAACGATTTCTATAGTCATTGAAAAAAATTTTCTTTAAAAAATCCACGCCTTCTGTAGTCCTAGGAAACATAACCTTTAAAAAATCCACGCCTTTTGTAGTCCTAGGAAACATAACCTGTAAAAAATCCACGCCATCTGTAGTCCTAGGAAACGTAACCTGTAAAAAATCCACGCCTTCTGTAGTCCTTGGAAACATAACCTTTAAAAAATCCACGCCATCTGTAGTCCTAGGAAACATAACCTTTAAAAAATCCTCGCCTTCTGTAGTCCTAGGAAACATAAACTGTAGTCCTTGGAAACATAACCTTTAAAAAATCCACGCCATCTGTAGTCCTAGGAAACATAACCTTTAAAAAATCCTCGCCTTCTGTAGTCCTAGGAAACATAAACTTTCAAAAATCCACACCTTCTGTAGTCCTAGAAAACATAACCTTTAAAAAATCCACGCCTTCTGTAGTCCTTGGAAAATTCCTTGGGAAATCAAAATCTTAATTCAGTTTCGTCACGGCTGGATGCTAAGTACACATATTCCGATACTGATTAATTGTATACCACTTGGATTCTGTTATAAAAAATCTAAATTTTCCGATGAACAAAGACCGAGAAGGGGAGATGACATGAATGGCGTGTATTATTAAGGAAAGCTGTCAACATAGAGTGGCAGCATCATTCGTTTAAATGCCACAAAAGCCTGACCACGCATATATCAAGTGTTGAATACATGCCATTATCACACCCACATTTTGTGTGTGATTGTGACATGACAGCCGAATTATGGGACAGATGGACAGGAAAATTGGCAAACTTGGTAATACATATACACCCCCACAAATACACACGCATTATTTTTGGCACAAACAAACCCAAAACACATTTTCCCCCAAAGTTTGTTAAACACCTCTAATTTTTGTGTGTTCGCCTAAAAAATAAATATTTAACTATTAGAAATAACAACAACACCAACAATGGGGGAAACTGGAGAGACGAACTAAAAACACCCACATTGAAACCCCAACAAAGGACTTTGTTTGCGATGAAGAAAATACTCCAATAACCAGATGGTTATTGGTGTAGACCTAACACAATCAACATCAATTCATTGGTTGATTTAGGTAACCATTTCCAGGATAGAAAGGAAATTTTCCGCATAGAATTATAGAGAAAATTAAATCGTCTCAAAAAAAAAATGGAATTTTGTTGAATGAACAATGACGCCAACATACCCTCACACACAAGAACCACATATTAACCGGTATGTTTTAACAAACATTGCGGATTTTATTAAAGTCGAGTGAAGGAAGAAACACAAAGGAAGAAAAAAAATCCCAATATCAACATCAGCATCAAAAATCTGAATAGGTAAAATGTAGCTGCTGCTGTTGCTGTCGGTGGGTATAAAATGGTTATGGTAAACACAAACATACACACACACACAAATATTTGGTTTTGTACAACTTTTAAAACTGTTTCCGGTATTGTATTATTGTATACGAGGATGGTCTGGGAAATAGGTACAATTAATTATGATAATAGAAATCTGCGGTCCAAGTAGGCTATGAAGGCGTGCTCTATTTTTAAAATATTATATTTTTCCAAGGACTATAGTAGGCGTGGATTTTATAAATAATATTTTTTCCAAGGACTATAGTAGGCGTGGATTTTATAAATAATATTTTTCCAAGGACTATAGTAGGCGTGGATTTTATAAATAATATTTTTCCAAGGACTATAGTAGGCGTGGATTTTATAAATAATATTTTTCCAAGGACTATAGTAGGCGTGGATTTTATAAATAATATTTTTCCAAGGACTATAGTAGGCGTGGATTTTATAAATAATATTTTTCCAAGGACTATAGTAGGCGTGGATTTTATAAATAATATTTTTCCAAGGACTATAGTAGGCGTGGATTTTATAAATAATATTTTTCCAAGGACTATAGTAGGCGTGGATTTTATAAATAATATTTTTCCAAGGACTATAGTAGGCGTGGATTTTATAAATAATATTTTTCCAAGGACTATAGTAGGCGTGGATTTTATAAATAATATTTTTCCAAGGACTATAGTAGGCGTGGATTTTATAAATAATATTTTTCCAACGACTATAGTAGGCGTGGATTTTATAAATAATATTTTTCCAAGGACTATAGTAGGCGTGGATTTTATAAATAATATTTTTCCAAGGACTATAGTAGGCGTGGATTTTATAAATAATATTTTTCCAAGGACTATAGTAGGCGTGGATTTTATAAATAATATTTTTCCAAGGACTATAGTAGGCGTGGATTTTATAAATAATATTTTTCCAAGGACTATAGTAGGCGTGGATTTTATAAATAATATTTTTCCAAGGACTATAGTAGGCGTGGATTTTATAAATAATATTTTTCCAAGGACTATAGTAGGCGTGGATTTTATAAATAATATTTTTCCAAGGACTATAGTAGGCGTGGATTTTATAAATAATATTTTTCCAAGGACTATAGTAGGCGTGGATTTTATAAATAATATTTTTCCAAGGACTATAGTAGGCGTGGATTTTATAAATAATATTTTTCCAAGGACTATAGTAGGCGCGGATTTTATAAATAATATTTTTCCAAGGACTATAGTAGGCGTAGATTTTATAAAAAATATTTTTCCAAGGACTATAGTAGGCGTGGATTTTATAAATAATATTTTTCCAAGGACTATAGTAGGCGTGGATTTTATAAATAATATTTTTCCAAGGACTATAGTAGGCGCGGATTTTATAAATAATATTTTTCCAAGGACTATAGTAGGCGTGGATTTTATAAATAATATTTTTCCAAGGACTATAGTAGGCGTGGATTTTATAAATAATATTTTTCCAAGGACTATAGTAGGCGTGGATTTTATAAATAATATTTTTCCAAGGACTATAGTAGGCGTGGATTTTATAAATAATATTTTTCCAAGGACTATAGTAGGCGTGGATTTTATAAATAATATTTTTCCAAGGACTATAGTAGGCGTGGATTTTATAAATTATATTTTTCCAAGGACTATAGTAGGCGTGGATTTTATAAATAATATTTTTCCAAGGACTATAGTAGGCGTGGATTTTATAAATAATATTTTTCCAAGGACTATAGTAGGCGTGGATTTTATAAATAATATTTTTCCAAGGACTATAGTAGGCGTGGATTTTATAAATAATATTTTTCCAAGGACTATAGTAGGCGTGGATTTTATAAATAATATTTTTCCAAGGACTATAGGCGTGGATTTTATAAATAAATTCCTATAATACCAATAGGCGTGGATTTTATAAATAATATTTTTCCAAGGATTATAGTAGGCGTGGATTTTATAAATAATATTTTTCCAAGGACTATAGTAGGCGTGGATTTTATAAATAATATTTTTCCAAGGACTATAGTAGGCGTGGATTTTATAAATAATATTTTTCCAAGGACTATAGTAGGCGTGGATTTTATAAATAATATTTTTCCAAGGACTATAGTAGGCGTGGATTTTATAAATAATATTTTTCCAAGGACTATAGTAGGCGTGGATTTTATAAATAATATTTTTCCAAGGACTATAGTAGGCGTGGATTTTATAAATAATATTTTTCCAAGGACTATAGTAGGCGTGGATTTTATAAATAATATTTTTCCAAGGACTATAGTAGGCGTGGATTTTATAAATAATATTTTTCCAAGGACTATAGTAGGCGTGGATTTTATAAATAATATTTTTCCAAGGACTATAGTAGGCGTGGATTTTATAAATAATATTTTTCCAAGGACTATAGTAGGCGTGGATTTTATAAATAATATTTTTCCAAGGACTATAGTAGGCGTGGATTTTATAAATAATATTTTTCCAAGGACTATAGTAGGCGTGGATTTTATAAATAATATTTTTCCAAGGACTATAGTAGG